TAAAAAAAAAGTTGAATTTGACAAACACTGAACGTCAGTGGGTCGCAGTTGGCGGCACCATTTTAAGTTAAATTTAAAGCACAAATGCTGAAGTTAAACTTCATTGAAACTTTTCGAAAAAAAAGTTTCCCATATGGTGCGCACTTCAATGGTGACACTGTAAATACTGGGTGACTGACTTTATGATCATTTTATATTCTTGCATTGAAAATATTTTTTACGTTATTGCTTCCAATTCAGATTGACCCAATGTAACTTAACTACTGAATATCAACATATTATTTCATTTTGTTGAGATTTCAATGAACAGAGAACAAAGAACAATCGTAAAGAACAATCATATCAATAAGCATCAAATGATGCTGATACTTGATACAAATTGCAGGTAAATAAATCAATAAATACTGGCTCATTTTGCCAATCCATGGAAGTGAAGAAAGAAAATGAAAAAATAAATGAACCATATTGAAAATTTGCCTCATTCAGTTTACTACATTTCGAATAAATAACAATTGAAACTTTCACTAAGGATCTCATTTCCTAAATTTTACAGATTTTCAATAATTTGGACACATTAAATTGAAATTACGTTCATAATTTCTCATTTCGAGTGCCTTACTTTCATCGTCTATTTCGATATTGTACTAATCTGTATATTTTTGCCTGCCATATCCATGTTATCAAAATAATAAAATGCATTGCAGAAACTGTGTGATTTCTGATATAAACTTCTCGAGTTAGGCTAGAAAAAGTGGGAATGTTAGAAACGTTCTGGAAAACTAATCATAGTAATCGAAACACCATTCTTCGAAATTCCGTGGAAGTTTGGATTGTAATGCTAGAAATATCTTCTTCGAAATGTTCATTCAATTTATAATTAGAAATGATGGTGACATTTTGATCAAACTGATAAAAACACTGAGAAACACTTGTTGCGTTTTTTGAAAACTATTTGGTGAAAATCACACACTAAAGGGTTTTTTGAATACGTTAGTTATGAATTTTCATCAAGTATCGATCAATTCCATTACATATCTGAAGGAATTTCTAAGAAAAAATGCAAAAATGCTTGATATAGTTATTATAAATAACGTTACGTACATTTTGCCATTTCATCAGTACATAGTTACAAAAATCCAAGGTGTACCATTTCAGATTTTCATTTCTCATTTGCATTCAATGTCTTGATTATTGTTTGTTCTGGTGCTTACTACTCATACTACCGAGCCATGTTGGAGGGTTCAGGTTGTCATAAAATGATTGATGAATCGTATTCGATTTCTGTTCAATACTCAGATGATCGGAAGCCTGGAGTTTAATGAAAATGTACAAAATTTCATTCACGAGCAATTAGTTTCAAACAACAAGCAGCAAATGACCTGAATCATAACGCTTTTGTGTATAGCATACTTATCGATTATATCATCATCTTGTCTGTCTGCACTCGGATGTATGATATTAGTTGGGTAGTTTGTAATGAATGAATGTAGAAACGTTATTTAATTGGATAGAAATACTTTGTATATTACTTTTTTCCATAAGAACTATACTTTGGAGAAAACGAGCAATGTCTGTTACGAAAATAAAATGAAAATGTCCCTTCTGAATGATATTCCCATTCGGTATTTCGTAAGTTGGCCATGAATACTATTTGAGAGTAATGTTGTGACATTCTCCTAATAATATTGACGTTTTCGTCACTTTAGAAGTTTCAGATACCTTCAAAACGTTGGAACAAAACTATTCAAACGAAGTTCTTATGAATTTATTTATTATTTTTGGACAGTACAATAAAATTATCAGCAGGGCATGTAGAAAGTCCAGCAAAATATATCCGAATCTACCGCAAATGAACCTCATGAATTTATACGGATTCAGAACAATTTCAATGTATTTGAATCACCTTCAAAAGGATCAAAACACTTTTCACGACCCGTAACTACAGAGGACGACCAGATTAATGTCATTATCGGTAGATTCGAATACCGTTCGTTGAACTTTCTACATGTTCTGCTGATAATTTTATCACACTGTCCAAAAATAATAATCGAGTGTGAAAAAACTTCATTTGAATAGTTTTGTTTCATCGTTTTAGAGGTATTTGAAATTTCTGAAATGACGAAAATGCCAATATTTTTAGGAGAATGTCACAACGCTACTGTCAAATAGTAATCATGGCCTGCTTACAAAATACCGAATGGGAATACCATCTGAAAGGACATTTTCACAAATAAATGCTTGAGTGGTTAGGTATACGCATGATTAACATAGAAAGGGAGCAAATTTCAACAGCTTTCTGAATTTGTAATAATACACAGGATGTTCGCTCTGAGTCAATTTTCCAAGAAAATGAAAAAACTGTATTTGTCACCATAATGTATCGAAGTAACGAATATTGCGCTGTGAGAAGTGTGGGAAGCCTCCAAGTATCACCTAACTCCAAATTAAACTTTGGTAGGTACTATACTGTCACTCAACTCAATATCAGCATTTTTAGAGGTTACCAATTTCCAAAAAAAAAATCGAAAATTATTCATATTTCGAAAACGGTTACAGATTGGTGTAGGAAAATATTGAGAAAATTTGTCGAGTAATTATAGATTCCAAAAATAATATTATATTATATACGAAAAATCAAAGTTGCTACTACTGTCTAATAGTTGTAAAAGATCCAAAGTGGAAAATGATGAAGAATTCCCCATTTTAGATGTCATTTCGAAGACGTTTCGAAATTAAGAGCAGAAATTCGTATTAGTTCCGGAGATATTCGAAATTCCGTTTAAGAAAATTCTGACGTTGTATAAGAAGATATTGAAAAACAAATATCACGTCATCTTTGCTATTTTTCAAGCTGTATAAGATGGTGTTGACAGATTTCCAATCCGATATTTTGTCTGCGAGAAACCATCACCATTGTCAATTTTTCATAAAGACGGAAGAAAAGAGTCACCCTAATAAATTGGCCTTTTTGACGACAACTTCACCGATGCATCATCATAATTGTTTGATTTGTAAATATCGAAATGTCATTCAAATTTGACAACATTGGGTCGGATTCTATAATTTCGTATTGTTGTATTTTTCAGTATTATTATATTACTTTTTCAGTTTTGAATTACTTCATATTCGATAAAGTTGAAGTCATGTAATTTTGCTGTTTCTGTGAAGAGATTCATGAGAGTATCAATCATTCACAAAT